TTGCAGGCTGTGGGGGAGGGGGTAGTCTCCATTCTGCTCCTCCGGGCTTTTGGAAGCCCAAAGAAGCAAGATGGCAATGGGGACTCACCCCCGGATATTCTCGAGACTACCTGTTAGTGAGTCACCACAGGCTCAGTATCTCGTTAGACCCGGGTCTTTCAGAAAGGCCTGGATCTAATGGGGTATCCATTTAATTCAGAACAAACAAGGGAGAGTACGAAAGAATGAGGTCAAAGCCCAGCAAGATGTTTGGAGAACTCTTGGGGAGACATAGGGCCCATCCAGAAAGGCCCGAAAACTGAGACAAGTCCCAGTTTTCGGGCCTGTCTGGATGAGCCCTATGTCTCCCCAAGAGTTCTCCAGATACCTTGCTGGGCTTTGGCTTCTTGATTTCTAGGAAAGTCAGAAAGAAAGAAGCCAAAGCCCAGCAAGGTGTCTGGAGAACTCTTGGGGAGACATAGGGCCCATCCAGACAGACCCCAAAACCTGGACCTGTCTCAGTTTTTGGGCCTGTCTGGATGGGCTCTATCTCTCCCCAAGAGTTCTCCAGACACCTTTCTGGGCTTTGGCTTCTTTCTTTCTGACTTTCCTAGCAATCGTTTCCTCCTCTTCTCACCCCACAGACTTCCAGGGTCAGATGGGGGTGTGTGAGGATGAGGAAGGGACAACCAGCCAAGCACATGCTGTCAGCTCCATCCCTGTTTCCATGGCCACAGCAATTTGTGATCTCTAGCAACCGTTTCCATGGTTGCCCCTGTGAACAGAAACGGGACCCAAAATGCAAGGGGTGGGGGGTGTAGTGAATTTAAAGAAGCAGGAAACTATTTTGGTAGGGGGAGACCAAGGAGAGACATGAGACATGCTGGCATCTCCTCCAAACTGATGCCGGACAACAAAGTTGAGGTTTATAATAACTTAATGTGGCATGGACATTCATGTTTGAAGCACTTCTTCCCACTCAACGCCAGGTATGCAGTGTTTGGGGGAGAGGAGAGAATTCTCAGTCTATGCATATATTGGGGAAGGTGTCTTAAATAAGATATGAGAGAGGAGAAATGAAGAAGAGATTTTGTATCAACTATCCACAAACAGGAGCACAGAAAGAGCAAATACTTTGTACAATGATTTGGCCAATTTTCTTTCATGTTTTTCCAATGGTAAAACTATGGGGAGGACGACTTATTAACTCTCAGTTTTGTTCAGCACTTATGTATGGTGTGCTTTCTAAACCACTACTAGTACTGCTACTGGTGGTGCAGAGGGTTAAACCGCTGAGCTGTTGAACTTGCTGACCAAAAGTTTGGGAGTTTGAATCCTAGGAGTGGAGTGAGCTCCCGCTGTTAGCCTCATCTTCTGCCAACCTAGCAGTTTGAAAACAATGAAATGTGAGTAGATCAATAGGTACTGCTTCTGCTGGAAGGTAATAGTGCTTCATGCAGTCATGCCAGCCACATGACCTTGGAGGTGTCTACGAACAACACCAGCTCTAAAGCTTAGAAATGGAAATGAGCACCGCCCTCCAGAGTCGGATGCGAGTAGACTTAATGTCAAGGGGAAACCTTTACCTTTACCTTAGTACTGCTACTGTTAGTAGCAGCAGCAGCACATCCTTTAGAAAGATGATTCTTCCAGCTTTCTTGCAGTAGCCAGGGACTGGCTAGGTACAGTAGATACCATTGTAAAGTCTCTTAACATTCCCGAACAGAGGTGGGAAAGCTCTGGTGCTTCAGGTGATGCCCTGAGACACAATAACTGCACCACTGAAGAAGATAAAAAAGAACCAAAATTCCCAAGTAGAGACAAATGTTCCTTCAGGGATGCCAGTCAGTGTAATGTCTTGGGACAACCAAAGGTCATATTTTGTTGTCCTATCCTTTTCCAAGAGTTTGTGGTGTTCCTAACCATAGAAAGTCCACATTTTATGTATTTTATCTACCTAAAAAATACATGTGTAATCCTTAAAGGTGTGATTGGAGGGGAAGCTAGTCAGGATGCACTGAATGCAACTTACATTTCAGGTGCATTTTAAAACCTGCTACTTCCTATCTATCAATCTATCTGATATGATTTAGCAGTGTACATCAAGAAAACATACCATATGCAATTATTTTTCATGTCAGGAGCGACTTGAGAAACTGCAAGTCGCTTCTGGTGTGAGAGAATTGACCGTCTGCAAGGACATTGCCCAGAGGACGCCTAGATGTTTGATGTTAAACATCCTTGTGGGAGGCTTCTCTCATGTCCCCACATGGGGAGCTGCAGCTGACAGACAACGCTCATCCGCGCTCTCCCTGGATTCAAACCACTGACCTATCGATCATCAGTCCTGCCGGCACAAGGATTTAACCCATTGTGCCACCAGGAGCTTCATACGCAAATTAAGATGCACTCTTTAATGAATTAGCAAGAACATTATATACTATTAATGAGTTTAAAAACAAAAATAATGCAAGCGTAGTTTTACTGTGAAGGTACACTGTCCTTCCCCAAGACTAGCATAACTTAGGGATAATGAATTGACATAATGTTGGCGATCACGTCCTGTCAAATGTTCAGGAGCAGGGAACTGTCATAACCTGCTGTCAAAATGGTAATGTTAATGAAGCCAAGCAGACTTTGCTGGGGAGAGTATTAAGGAGAGGAAGCAACTGAAAAAGACTTTTCTCTTTTGCTGCCATTCTTGGAGGAGAGAGTCAAAAGAAAGCATCCAATATTGATTTTAAGGCATGGACAGATTTATGACAGCACAGGTTTGCAGTTAAATGAGGTCCCAAGCCTTGTAAGAGACAGGGCCATCACTCTGCGGCTTCATTTAGACAACGTAGCTGTACTGGCAGTTGAATTTTACTTTCAGTTATCCATTTGACCTGAGGCCAGAAGGCCAGCAAAGGGTTATGAGATAGACTGTATGGGACATACAGTTCTCCAACTGAGAGGAATAGCCAGGAGGCAGTTTTGCCTAGACTCTACATCACCAAACATCTAAAACACAATGGTTTCACTCTATCTAGTGGTCAAACTGGCCCTGTTTGCACTGAAGCATCCAATGTGATAGGGGCTGCCATGCATGCAGCTACTCAAAAAGTTGATAGGTGGAAGGAGGGAGGTACACTTTGCCGAGATCTGCAGCTGGCTCTCCATATCAAAGGAATGCGGGATGAAAGGACCGGTGCTGGTAGCAGTGTCTGTATATATGTGTTGCTGAGTGGCCTGGTTTTATTGCTAATGAAGGGAGAAAGGAATGAATTCCATTTAGTGCTGAGCTAAGGATGAATCCAGTTCTGCATTAATTACCCCTCGAGGGACTGAGGTGGTGGTGCTGGGGTGGGGTGGAGCTCAGCTAAGGAGGAAAGCCCCATTTTCTTTAGTCCATTAGCGACAGCGTTTCCTCCCCTTCTCCGCCGCCTTTCATTCCCTTTGTGGCTCACACGGCATTTCACAAATGAGGATCCGAAGCCAAGGTCACAGAGTGCAAAGCACAACCCTGTCCGCAAACCTCACTGCATGTTAACTTGTCCATTTCTCAATTAATATATGCTGTACAGTTGTAACAGTGCCAGAGATGGGGGGGGGGGGAGGAGTGAACACGGAGCTGTGTCCCAGGAAAGTTACCTGATGTCAGAAATAATTTATCATCTTCAAGACATATACATAAGCCCATGCTTTTCCACATTTGAGACCACAATATCCTAAGCAAGCATGGCCACTGATAGGAAGACCTGGAAAGGCAACTGTATTATAACTAAACCTATGCAAATTTAACTCAAATGAAACACACAAGCTCTTCCATTTATCTCTGCTTCCATATCTTTTCCCTTCCTCCATAGTCACCCTTATGTTGAATTATAGATTGCAATCCCCTCAGGATACAGTCATTTCTAGTTCTTTCTATTTTTCTATTCATTATTAATTTTTTTACTTGTTCCCCCAAAGCACAAAACATAGCCAATGTAGTAGTGGAAATGTGCCCCCTGTTCCCACAAAATTGTCAACTCCTGCTCTGCAAAGTAAGGTAAAAGTTAAGGTTTCCCTTTGACATTAAGTCTAGTCACATCCGACTCTGGTGCTCATCTCCATTTCTAAGCCGAAGAGCCAGCATTGTCTGTAGACATTTCCTAGGTCATGTGGCCAGCATGACTGCATGGAGTGCCATTAACTCTCCTGTAGAAGCTGTACCTATTGATCTACTCACATTTGCATGTTTTCAAATTGCTAAGTTGGCAGAAGCTGGGGCTACTAGCGGGAGCTCACCCCATTCCTCGGATTCAAGTCGCTGACCTTTTGGTTAGCAAGTTCAGCAGCTCAGTGGTTTAAAACCTGTGCCACTGGGGGTTGCAAAGTAAACGCTCACAAGCTGTGAAAAATGTGGAAAGTGAAGTCCACATTGGTCCCCAAGTCGATATTTTTAAGTTTCCATGAGCACTTTCTGATATTTGTGTGTGCAGTTTCACTATGTTTTTAAGCTTTTTAAAATTGTACACTTCCGATTTACCTCCTGTACAAATCTGGGAAAGAATGATTTCTGTTGTTATTAACTGCCATTGAGTTGGCTTCGATCTATGACAATTCAAGAGGCATCCAAGATATCCTGTTATTAACAATTATGCTCAGGTCTACTGAGTAAATCCATCTAGTGCAGTCAGAGGCCCCTTCTACACTGCCATACAATCCAGATTGTCAAAGCAGATAATCCACATTATCTGCTTTGAACTGGATAATATGAGTCTACACTGCCATATAATTGAGTTCAAAGCATACCATCTGGATTTTATGGCAGTGTAGAAGTGGCCTTACTATCTTCCACGTTACCGTGACCATCATATTTTGTAATGAGTCATGTCATTTCGCATAGTTAAAGTATATATATCAATTTCTAATGAATTGGTGGAAATTGGTCAGGATCTGATAAGATTTGCCACCCTTAAATCCCATGACTCCTCAGATTGCTCCCACCCACTTTCACATGTACTCTTTCTCGCAGGTTCCACTTAGCTTCTCACCGTTTGGTGCAGGTCAGGAATACCAATTCGGAAGACCATCATACTGAAGTGCGCGTCTTCAGGTACTGTCATGGGGTGACTGTGGGTAGGGTTAGCGGGGCTGGCCGGAGGGCTGGGCCCCTCGTGGGAGCTCTCCGAGCCCGACTCCCCCTCGGGGCACTGGGAGAGGTGCTCCTCCTCCTCCGCGCTTGTTTCGGGGCTCTGGGGCATCGTCAGGGGTGCTGGGCACCATCACTGGCTGCACTAAAAATAAGAGGAAGGGCAAATATTCATTGTTATTCTCACAAAGGGGTGCAGTGAAGAAGATATTAGCATTGAGAGTCTGGAGCACAGCACTGCAATACACTCAAACATACAATGACTGAAGTTCATGTTTAGCTCACGACATCATGCATCCTGACACAGAGTTAACTGAAACACAAGCACATGTGGACTTCCCTCCCTTTCTGCTTTCACTATGCTATTTTCCTCTCTTTCTTTCTGCCAACATCTTCTTTTTTTCTCTCCTCTAAATTTAGTGGTTCAACTGTGTAAGTATTGTGGCCTAAGTCCTACTACTAGTTCCTAAATCTAATTTAGTTGCAACAAGACTAGGACCATTCACTCAATTGAATAGACCTATGTGTTGATTCAACATTTGAGACAATGGGTCTACTCTAGTTGGGTACTAACCAGCACGATTCCAGGCAAGTGATGTTAAGTCTTTGACTAGTTCATTCTTGACTGTCAAGCAGAATCTTCTTATCACCAGATGAGATGATGAGGGCTTTTGCATATTTTGTAATGATTTTTTAGATTTGGGGACTTTTTAGTGACCTTTTTTGTGTGTGTGTATATATATATATATATTGATGCAAAATTCATCATTTTTATGTAAAATTGATTTCAAAACATCCCCCCCCTTTTTTTTTTTTTTTTTTTTACTGAGGATGAAAAAAATCTAGGAACTTCCTAGAAAGGACACAGCGCTCTTCCAGAAGCTTAGGACAGGATCTTCCATTAGGCGGAATGAGGCACTCGCCTCAGGCAGGAGAGGCAAAGAAGGGCAATGAGGGTGTTGAAGAGAACAGTATGTGTGCCACTTAGCCTGCACTTGAAGCTACCCTGCTGCTCTCAAGTGCAATGGAAGAAGATCTCCCAAAGCCAAGATGGCTTGTAGATGGCTTTTGAAATGAGCTGAGGGCTATGTGAGTTCAGGTGAGTATTACAGAGGACTGAGTGAGTTCAGGCTGAGAACTACAGCTTATGTACTCTGAGATACACACACACACACACACAGTTTTCTGTATATACATATGCACATGCATACATGCACACACACTTACTACATCACACACACACACACACACACACACACATATATATATACATACACACACACACACACACACACACATATATATATATTAAAAAACAGATGGGAAAGAAGATATACGCAAATGGAGGCACATGGAGACATTTTGGGCTTCCTTTTCAATCCATGTGCAATAACCTTCATCTGCTGAGATTAGGCCTGATTACCCAGACAACGTATATGATGCTCGAATGCTCAAAAACCACTATCAGCAAGCTGCTGCTGCCACTCTCTTCCTCCTCCACTCCCTGCCCCCTCCATGAAAACGATTAAGTAGAGAATAATTTGTCAAGATTTACACACTAAGGCGTTGTGTGCAATTTCATCAGACTGCCCATGGTGCACATATAATAGTTACAGACTCATGCCACTTTTTTGACGCGGGTGGATTAATTACGAACTAGGAGAGCAGGGCCTGCCCAACCATTAGTCAGAATGGGGCAGCGACTTCAGGGAGGAAGATGATGGTATCCATAGCTGCCTTCCTCCATGCCACTTGAGCCTCCGCAACATAGACTGGACAAATAAGTTCCTAAGGGTGAATGCAGTATCAAAAAATGGAGCAGGGATATAGCTAGAACTGAGACAATCTCAGGCAACAGATGCCGAGGAGATTTATCTTGAGAAAGCCTTCTAGACAGCTCAGATGGTCCTTCAAGCAACCATTCCTACCCACTCACCCTACCAAGCCCACTGCTTTGACAGGTGATGAAAGATGGTATATGGAAGGGTCCCTGCCTCCCATCTTGTCATTTGCTTCATGCAGTAAAAGCTCTTGGACAAGTCCTGCATATGCCCACTCACCCTACCATACTATATCAAACATTTCCTGTTAGAGAAGACCAAACCTTTGGCTTTATGGGAAAAGGAAGAAGAACAAATACGTGTGCAGAGGATGGAAAAGGGTTTGAGGGTACCACAGTTCCCAGAATGCACCAACTAGCATGGCCAGCAGGCATACTAGCAGGCGAATTTTGGAACTTGTTCAAAAAGCCCCATCTTCATATGCTTCTGTGGAATAAGTTTACTCTACCTATAAACAAAACATTCCTTTGAAATCAATCTTGTGTATGCTCAAGGTTGTTATATACCTTTACTTAGGGTGGGCTGGGGTGCCATTACCTTCTTTGCTTCAGGCAGTAATATATCTTGCATTAGCATTGAAATATGCTTCCCAGATGTTTGTGGAAAATAGCTTTTATTTTACAAGTGGTCCCAGATGTTCTCTTTCTCTCTCACATACACACACACACAGTGAATATGCGCACATCTATAAATCTGCATAAATACAAATACAGTCTGGGTTGTTGTAGGTTTTTTGGGCTGAGAATGCTTCTAGAACATGGCCATACTGCCCAAAAAACCTACAACAACCCAGTGATTCCAGCCATGAAAGCCTTCAACAATACAACATACACAATCCTCCTTGGCCTGTCCAGGGCATCTTGGTAAGGATTCTCTATATTCTCCCTTCCTGCCCCCTTCTTGCCCTACTCATTGCTTCATCTCACTCTGGTCTACTCTCTTAATTTATAGATGAATCAGAATTATTTGCCCCCTCACCAATGATCTGGGTAGAATTCCTTCCTCACCTTCGGCCGTTGCCCAAACACATCTGCCAAGTGCTCCTTTCCGCCCCACCCTGGTCTCCTTCACTGACTTTTTGTGCTCTACGTCCCAGATTCCAGGCGGCCCCAGGGCCCAAGCAATCTGGAAGCAGTACAAGACGTCCCAGAAAGCAGAACAGCCCTGGGACGGCTGCCCCACTTTCGGCACCTGCCAAAAGGCCCTATAATTAGCCCAAAAGGACACAAGTGACCCTGCCCCATACTTGTTCTGATCCCATTTGCTAGATATCTCAGACATGCAAATTGAAGAGACAAGAGGAGCTGGGGGGATGCACAGACTGAAGGCAAACCATGTGATTGTATGAGGAAGTGCCCTGGTTCAAGCCCTGGCAGCTTCATATACATTCTTCTAGCGCTGAAGGTAATAGAGGAAAATTATTTGCTGTCCGAAACCCCAGAGGGCTGTTCCTTGTCGAAACTATATGATCCTGAGCTAGATGGGTAAATAATTTGACCTGACACAAGGCAACTTCCAATGCTTCTGTTCTTTGGGAGCGAAACATTGAGTAATTTAGCTATTCAGGTCAGAATCCAGTTGGTGCACTCAGTTCATGTAATAACTCATTACTTTAATAGGTTATTCTAAAATGATAGTTTTCCACTGTTTGGGAGCAACACAGGTTGCCATTCCTAAATTCCCAATAAGCAGTCTTCTGCAAGAGAGCAGAATTTAATAATAGGGCTGGTTTACAGTGAGACAGGAAGTTCCTTAGATGAAGAGGACAGGCAGTTTTTGAAAAACAATGTGCCAGGTACTATCACCATACCTGTGACCATTATCTACAATTGTTTCTTTCCTGGAAAGCATCTGCAGAGTGGCAGCCACTGGCTAATGGAGCAGCATGTGTCCAGGAACCATCTCTACGGGCCTTAAGATTGCCCCAAGCTATTTAGATCTTTAAAGGTTAAAAGTGACACAATGAATTGAGTACAAAGGGGAAAAAACAGTCAAGGATTGTTGATGGTTTCCATAATAGGGGTGTGGTGAATTTACTCTGGGATGTATTCCAGACATTTGTAAGGTCACCATACATCAAAGTAAACTTGAAAGCAAATAGCAATGACAAAAAAGGGGAGACATCAAAAGCCTCAAACTCTTTTTGCAGGATAGGTTCAGCATCTTATGTAGCATTTAACAAATCCCAGAATGGATATATCACCTCACTTACATCAATGATTCCCAACCTTTTTTTGACCAGGGTCCACTCTTAAGATCTGTATTTGATGTAACACTGCAAGTTTATGGTTTGACTCTGCTGAAAAGAGTAAAGTTTTCTGTTTTTCCTTTTGCAACTGTGCAAAGTTATTGTGTCTTTGTTGGATGGGACCAGGCATGTAGCTGGGGGGGGGGGGGGCTTGGGGGCTTCGCCCCTCCCCCCCCCCCCGAAATTCTCATGGTGGTTCGCGAGAAAAGGCCTTACTGGTGCATTATTTAAACTGTTATGTTTATTCATATCATGACCTGATCACCATACTCAATATATCCCATATGCATGGGGGTATATGGGATATATACTCAGCCCAAACCCCCCCTGAAAAAAACTCACACCCCCCCCCCCCCGAATCGAAATCCTGGCTACGGGCCTGGATGGGACTGAATTCCGCTTGAAGTGCAACACACTCAACCAGGGACCACTTTGACCAGGGACTTCTCTCCAACATTAGTACCAAAAGGGTTACGAATCAGTTTTTGGTCAACTTTAGATTCGGTTTGGGGTGCTGATTCAGAAAATTGCATTGGATAGACCACATCAGCTCTAGTTTCTGATACAGAACATATGCCATGGTCAGTGAAAGGGAAGGAGTGGCAGGTGGCGCGAAAGAAGTGGGAAAAGAAAAGAAAGAGGAAGGGGGCTCACGGACCAGATTTTCGTCCTCGCAGCCCACCTGTGGTCCATGGCCCACAGGTTAAGGGCCACTGATTTTCATGGAATCATCTGGCCATCTCTGCAACTAGAGCAGGTTGTTTTGTTGTTGTAATATGTCCTCTAAAACCTAGTGGCCTACGTTTTACATTTAACATCAGAGGAATTGTTGGGATGCTTAGATGTAGATGGGCAAGAGCAGCCCTAATATTAGACAGAGTGAGGCAGCTATCTCAGATACTCCAGCTGTTTCCTCTTGAATCTCCTGGTCTTTCTTTTCATAGAGCAACGCTTCTCAGGCTGTTTGCCATACAAACACAAAATGCACAACTCTGTATGGACCAAAGGCTTGTGGACCAGCACCAGTAGAGGGACCACAAATTTCAGCAGAACTAA